TGGGGTTTCATGGTGGTTTTTTTTTTTTTTTTTTTTTTTTTTGAGACAGATTATCACTCTGTCACCCAGGCTGGAGTGCAGAGGTGCCATCTTGACTCACTGCAACCTCTGCCTCCTGGGTTCAAGCGATTTGTGCCTCAGCCTCCTGACTAGCTGAGATTACAGGTGTGTGCCACCACACCAGGCTAATTTTTGTATTTTTAGGAGAGACAGGGTTTCACCATGTTTCCTAGGCTGGTCTTGAACTCCTGGCCTCATGTAATCTGCCTGCCTTGGCTTCCCAAATTCTGGGATTACAGGTGTGAGACACCGTGCCTGGCCTATATTTAGGATAGTTTTAAATGGGGCCATTTTAAGAGGCTATATAGGACAAGAAAAGGGTGAATTGTAGTAGACATTTTCTATTTTGGGTCTATCCAAATCACCTCTGGGGTAAGTGATTACATTGCTAGTCTATGGTGGCAGGTGACTACTTCCAAGGGAAGAGTCAAAGGCTTTTTCTCCCTAGCCCACAGTGATTGGTTCAAGGGTAGCCTGGGGCCCACCAGAGCCAATAGCACCTCAAAAGACATTTGTAGGGGGGACTTGTGAATCAGAGGCAATTCTTTCCTACTGATTTTGAACCAGAGACTATAAGTTCTGCAGCCATTTTTCTGTCTGAAGAACTGTAATAACCCAGAGGAACAGAACTGAGATATGAAGGAAAAAACCAGAATCCTGGCAGCAAGATTTGAGTTCTCTTAACAAGTGATACCTGAAGTTGCCCTACCCCTGCATACTTAGGTGTGTAAACCAGTAAGTTCCCTTTTGCTTAGGCCAGTTTGGGTTGGGTGACCCCCTTGAAAGCCCCTACGTTATAAATCAAAAAACAGTATGTAAGCTAGGTGTGACTTCAGTAATGTGAAAAGAAAATTCTTCATTTTGGCCGGGCGCGGTGGCTCAAGCCTGTAATCCCAGCACTTTGGGAGGCCAAGACAGGCGGATCACGAGGTCAGGAGATCGAGACCATCCTGGCTAACCCGGTGAAACCCCCTCTCTACTAAAAAAATACAAAAAACTAGCTGGGCGAGGTGGCGGGCGCCTGTAGTCCCAGCTACTCGGGAGGCTGAGGCAGGAGAATGGCGTGAACCCGGGAGGCGGAGCTTGCAGTGAGCTGAGATCCGGCCACTGCACTCCAGCCTGGGCCACAGAGCGAGACCCCGTCTCAAAAAAAAAAAAAAAAAAAAAAAAAAAAAAAAAAAAAAAAAAAAAAGAAAGAAAATTCTTCATTTTACAGGCAACTCTAGTAATTTGGTACTGAGCAAACCTTAGGGATTTTACCGCTTGATGAATTGGGGAAAACTGTTTTTACTGAAGTCTGAATACAGGATTTGGGCACCATCCCTCACGTTGAGATGATATAAGCATTTTGCATCTTAAATTGCTCTGAAAAACTATGCTTCCCCCTTTATTTTTTCTCCCCAAAAGGAACTTTCCTGACATTTTAAGTATCAATGAAATATCTTAAGTTTGTAGATGGATAAAAGATTACATTATAAGAAAACATGGCAAAAGAGGTGAGGTCAAAAGCTGAGAGCAAGAGGTGTGTCAGGTTGGGGCGTGTGGCACTTGAGAGGCAGGAAGGTTTGGAAGGGTTCCTCTAGACCAGAATTAGCGTCACGTCGGCTGGGGATGAAGGAGGGTGGCGTGGGGTAGCCCTGAGTGCCCAGATAAGGAGTGAAAGCATGGATTCCCAAAAATAAAAAAGACTTCATGAGTTTCCTCAGCCACGCACCACACGTGCCAGCTGAGCAGCAACACCCAAGGGTTCACCCAAGGTTGGGGACCAGCCAGATGAGTCTAGGTCACGAAGGCAGGGCATCCCGGTGTGCTAGAGGAAAGCTGGAGTAACTGGGCTACCCGCTGAACACCTCACGGACATTATATATCTGGTAGGGATAGCCCAGGATTCTTTTGAGACCAGTTGTAAATTTCTTCTCAGCTTCCTCATTTTTTGAAAGATTAGAACTAAAGATCATATGGCTTCTGAAGAATAAGAACTCACAAGGTAATTAGCAATTGTACAAGGAAGCATGATCTGAAGTCTCACAGCTATTTTAAAGTCAAATAACTGAGTCTAATTAGAAGCAGTCCACAGCTATCTTAAAATTTAGGAATTAGGAATTCAGTTGCTTAAAAGGTAATTGATGCATAAAGCACAGCTGCCTTCAAGGCATTTTTCTCAGTACCACAGGTGCTACAGTCATCTCACAGTTTCTAATTGTTTTTAGGTGACAGGGGATTTACCAGAGGTAGAGCTGCCTGAAACACTGCTAAGAGACAAAACAGTGCTAAGGATCCTGCGTGGAGTGGCTGTTCCAAGCTCACATCTCTTTCAGTCCTCGAGTACTCGTCTCCCATTAGTCTCATTGGTGCATGTCTTGAACCAAGTGTTTAGAAAAAGCACCCAGGTATACAGAGGTATTTGCAGGTATATACAGAAGGCATCATGATGGGAACACTAAGGAAAACCCCTGCCTCTCAAATCTTCAAGCAGGGCTTGAAGTAGCCAAAGAAAGCAGTGTCAGGGGCTGTTGGGCAACAGCCCTGAATATTCCCAGGGAGAAGCTGGCCACTGCTGCCTGGCTTCATGTGGTTCTGATGTCAACATTTTTCTGTCTCAGGCCCTCTGTCATTCCAGGATGCTGGAGTCCACGGGCCCTGTTTTATACCCTAGCTGAGGACTAAGATATGCTGTTTAACATCTTGTGCCACCCTCCCAATTCCTTCACTCATCCTGCTTTCTCTCAAATTTCCTGAATGCCCTGACTTGCCGGGCAATGTCCAGAAGCTGATCTACAGTCTGATCTCTGAGGTTCAAGCTCCCCTAAAATTACTGACCAGGACTGGTGCAATCTGCTTGTTCTTGGTTCTGATTATGATTTGTCCCCATGGAGGCTGCTAAGTTGGGCATCATTTAGTGCTCTTTACTAGCTGACCCTACCTGGCACGGCCCCACTCTGCTCCCAGCATGCTGTGCAGCTGGCAGTGTGTGCTCCAGTTACAGTTCCTTCTGGGAATTGAGGCTGTCAAGGCTTTTTAAGTTATCTAGGAAGTTGCTCTCCACAGAAAAGGCTTGATTATTCCTCCAGACCCTAGACTTATCTCAAAATTGTTTTCTTCGCTAAATCCTGGTGTGAACTTTTTGTTAATGCTAGTAAAGTACTGAACTGCCTACCCCTATCTCATAATATTATAAGGCTTTTTCCTTTTGTTAAAAAAAAGAGTCAATCCAGTGTATGCTACTATACAGCTTCCTATCTGATGTGGGTATAGCTTGATAATAAAATGGGGTAACTTGAAAATTCTGAATTTTAAAAAATTATTGGGGTCCACTCTATCATCAGTCCTCCTACCTTTCATTAAGTTGGGCAGTATGAGATTTTGACAGACTTGCCCAAAGAGGCAACAAGACAAGAGGATTAGGTGAGCCTTGGTTTGGGTTCAAAATCAGCTGCAGTGTTTGGAATTTGGGGCTTGGGTTAAATGATTATATTTTGGTGGCTAGCAAGAATCTCAGCATGATGTATGATTGAGTTACAGAAATCAGCCAGAAACACCCTTGGGATAATGGCCATGTCAACTCATTTCATAATGGTATGTGAAACTAGAAATGAAATTAGAAAGACTGGGTAGTTTTTTTCCAAAGGAATGTATAATTCAGGTCATTTTTTTTAGAGTGGATTATTTAAGTGGGAGGCCTATTCATGCACTTCTATGCATATGGTTCTTTTTTTCCCTTGATTCTTAGAATTAGGACTTGGAAAATTATTTTCTGTTTGTGGCCACTTTAAAACCATGTTGCAAGCAAAATGAACTATAAAGACCACTGCAGAAAAATCTCTAATTTTTTCTTAAAAGAGAGCTCTGAATCTTTGTAACATCTAACAAAGACACTAGGGAAAAATTAGGGCTTTTTTGCATTAGGTTCAATCTTCTTGCCAGTAGCACACCCACCATTTACCAAGTTTATTTTAACATCTGGCACTGAATTTAAGGAGGAGGAGCAGAAGGAGGTTACATTTCTTTGTATCTAAAACCCCACATAATAGTAAGAAGTGATAGGTCAGACTTACTGGTTATTGTTAGGCAGAAAGCCATACTAAATGCAAACTACTTGAATCTCATAAATTACATATTGTGGGACTAGTGTATTGCGAACATTGAGCCTACCTCAATGTGAACAGCCAACAGAATTCTTAAAACATCTTTGAGATCCATGCAATTCTCTTTAGTTATTAGAGTTTTTATTCAATATCCTCTCTTAGCATGAATATGATACATTAAGTAATATAGTAATTCTGAGCTTTCCTTTTTAGAAATGCTAAAGTGTTTAACAATTCTTATCAATACTTAAAATAGCACATTGAAAAGCCCTAAAATAATAACAGAAAACACACTTTCTACATAGAGGATCCAAGGCAACAAAATCAAATGGGATAGGCTGGAACTGCCAAACCCACCTAGACAAATGTGGGCAAATGAAGACACAGTAAGAGAAGATACACCAAGTGAACGGAGTATAAGGCACAGCTTCTGGTTAGAATGGAAGATGGTTTTTCACAACTCCACAACTATTCCTCCATGACCTCAGAAGCCTGTCCTCCCTCCTACCTTGCTGGTCAGCAGGCTTTCCTATCAGCTGCCATAGTCAGGACTGTTTTTGGAATACCCTAGCATTTTTTCTGGGCATGGAGAAGCCTAGCCCAGCCAAATTTCATGTCTATTCAAGTCACATTCCAGAACCAACTTCCACAAAGTATAAACCACCCTTTGTCACATACTGTGAAGTTGTGCATTTTTTTTTTTCCCAGCTTAAGCCTGTGTACAGGTGAAGACCCTGTGCAGATTTATAAAAGACTGACTCAAGTAGCAACTTTGAGGGCAAAGAAAATGCACTCTGGTTTAAACAAGTTTCTTGTCATCAGATATAAAAGCAAGCAAACCTGGCAACACCATACCTTTCTTCCACGGAAACTTCCTTCAGCTGCTGGTGTGGCTTGGTGCCTTCCATTTCCCTGATGCTCACAGCATAGATCTTGGTGGTGTAGTCAATGGCCTTTTCTCGAGCAACATCGCTGTCATAGCCTCAAACAACAAAAAGAGATTGGGGAACCAGTTGGTTTGCAGTGGCCCAGGAAGGGAGGGGGTGGGAGGTACAGTCGGCACAGGAGGCGCGTGGCAGGTGGGGGCTCACCTCCATCCTCTTCCACGTCGGTGTCCGACTCCTCGCTGTCCACCAGCTTGCTCTCCTGGGTCCCCACAAACTCCCTGGTCCAGATCATCAGGGCTGTGTCAGCGCCGCCCACTGTGAGCAGCACAGAGTCATTGTGCAGCCACCTCACGTTGGCGACGTGTGCACTGTGCCCCACATACTTCTTGAATCTTGCATGCTGTCCCTGTAAAGCCCGAAATTGGTGATTACCCCAGCCACTGTCTCATTATTTCTTTCTCTGGGCTCATTTATCCATATTAATTTCTACTGGCTTCTACTGGATGCAAAGGAAACAGTTCAACAGCCATTTCCCTACATTTCAATTAGAATGTAAGCTCCATGTGGGCAGGCACTAGGTCTCTTTTTTTTCTTCAAACAGTACCCAGCTCACAATAGGTCCTCAATATATATTTTTTGAGGGAATGAATGAAACGTTAGACTACAGAACCTATTTTCTGGGAATCTGTGGACATATAAAAAGCTTGTTCTGGTTCTCTCAAATGTCAAATGTGCCGTCTCCACAGGTCTTTAGTGTAAACTCCTGACTGTGAGTCTGGCTGACATCTGAGATCAAAAGTGTCTTCACAGCCATCCCCTACAGTGACTTTTGTACCATAGTCGAGGCAGTGGCAGAAGAGCAAAGGATCTCTTATAAACCTGGGGCCCCAAGTAAGATGTAAAATGAACTAACAGTTTCTGCCACAGACGCTAGAAAGCATTTTTAACAGAAACACTCAAACACTGATTTAAAGATAAAGCTCCTTTTCAACAAACGTAGCCAAATACATAAAACCCAATTTATCAGTAACGACTAAAAGCTTTTTGACTGGTGTGCCCAGGCCACCCCACCTTTATCCCCAGTTGAGGGCAGAGGGCAGAGGGTGGAGGGTGGAATGTGAGTCAGCTGCTCACGCCAGGGCAGTCCTGACAAGTGGTGCAAAATCAAAGCTGGCACCAGAAAGAGTTTCCATATTCAGCTCATGAGCCACAGCCTGGCAAAAACAGCTGCAGCGGGAGCCATTTAAAGAGGTGGAGTTTTTCCATCCTCTCAGCGACTCCGAGGGAATACCTTACACAATCTGGAAAGCCACACGCACTCTCTGAGGTCGTGAGAGCCACCAGTATCCTAACTGAAAATTTTATTAATTTACAAGTGGCTCCCAGAGGAGTTTGGACTGGCATGCTGGAGAATCTGAAACCAGCATAGACACACGGCAGCGAACAGGTGCAGGAGCGTTTGTGACTTTGTAATACTCCCGGTCAAGATCTCCCTGTATTTGGCCAACCCCTAGCTGACAGCAGAGTGGAACTGCCAACTCCTCAGTAGAGTACTGAGCCTAGAAAGATTCCTGAAGCAAACAGGCAGGTCTATTTCCAGGAGGCCCTCCAGAGTCATTAGTTTGCTAGCATAGGCAGAACAAAATAATTTCCAAGAAAAACCTGTTTGAACATGTGAGATCCAGAAGGCATGGAAACAGAGGACAGTCACAGCAGCTGCAGCCATGTGCCCTGCTGGTCTTCTAGCTGGAAGCAGGAGCACATCCAGTTTATATACCACAAATGCAAGCTATTTCTTTACAGAAGTAAAAGAGCATGAGAAATGTCTCTCTACACCCTTAACTTATAAGAGGGACACAGGGTTTCCAGATGGGAAGAAAAAATGCAAAAAAGAAAGGTTCAGGGAAAAAGAGACTCTAAGGGATGAGATTCAGGTTGCAGAGGGGAAAAAAGGGACATAGAGGAAGAGAAAGAGAGGAAAAAATTCAGGGCCAATGAAGAGATTTAACAAGGCAGAGATTCTCCCAGCAGTGGGTGATTCAAGATTCTCAGAATAGGAAACGAGATCACTGCTCCATGCAACAATAAAGGGAATTGACACTGGGTAGAAGGTTCTGTGAAACCAGCTGCTGTTTCAGGAGAGACACTGGCAGCGATGTTTAGTGGTTCCCGGCAGGGCCTATGGAGAAAACATCCTCAAGACCTGGCACAGCCAGTGGGATGAATGACCCCTCTGGGTCTTCAAGCCGAATCTGCATTTGTTACCCCCATCAGAACTTGCTGCTTCCCCACGACTCTCTTATTCATCGAGTGATGAAATAATGGATGATAGCACCAGAAAAACCTGGAATATGGGCGGGTGCAGTGGTTCATGCCTGTAATCCCAGCACTTTGGGAGGTTGAGGCGGGCAGATCACTTGAGGTCAGGAGTTCAAGACCAGCCTGGCCAACATGGTGAAACCCCAACTTTACTAAAAATACAAAAATTAGCTGGGCAGGGTGGTGGATGCCTGTAATCCCAGCTACTCGGGAGGCTGAGGCAGGAGAATCGCTTGAACCTGAGTGGCAGAGGTTGCAGTCAGTTAAGATCACACCACTGCACTCCAGCCTGGGCAACAGCAAGACTCTGTCTTAAATAAAAAAAAAACCTGGAATATGTCTCCAGAGTAGTGGTTGCCAATCCCTTGTAGGGAGGAAATTTCTGAGAATCTCATGAAAGCTGGGCACTCACCCCCTACATTCACATTTCAGTTTCCCTATCTGTAAAATTTTCCATGCAAAGTTTCTCCCTGAAAAATCATTCTCCAGAGCTTTTGACATTCTGAGCAGGAAACTTAAGGACTTGAGGGCATGGAGGGTTTTAAAAATGCAAATGACATACTGGTGTTTTCCTCTCTCCGTTTAGCAGAAGGGTCTAGGTTTGGAAGGGAAGGGAGGCTATGGGAAGCAATCAGCAGGCCATACAGATCGAGTCAAAAAACAGAATTTGGTTTTCTGATGCATGGTTTAAGATACTACAAAAATGGGTCGTGCTCTTGTTAAGGCTCTGACAAAGGTTAGAGTCTGTCTCATGGAGGCTGGGACAAGATGGTTGTCAGGGCACTAACGATCTAATTGAGAAGGCTTTAACCTATAAAACTGAATATTAATAAAGATACACATCTGGCATGGAAAGAAAAATGCCTGGAAGAAATACCCACTCATGGGAAAGTAGAATGAGAAAAAGAGCCAAGATAATGACATGATTTTAGCTCCTAACAAATGGAACTTGAATTTTGGACACAGAGCTGTGTGGTGGTAATAAGATCTCACAGGTATCACCAAGACTGATGACATAGAACTCAATGCGAGAATATAGCAATGGCATGGTACATTAGTCTGCTTGGGTAGCCATAACAAAATGCCCTAGGCTGGGTAGCTAAACAGCAGAAATTTATTTCTCACAGTTTTAGAAGCTGGGCAAGATTAAGGTGCTGGCCAATTTGGTTCCTCGCGAGGGCTCTCTTCCTGGCTTGTAGATAGCTGCCTTCTCACTGTGTGCTCACATGGAGAGAGTGCAGTGTGTGTGTGGAGACAGAAAGCTAGCTCTCTGGCATCTCTTCTATAAGGACACTGATTCTCTCAGATTAGGGCCCCTCCCTTATAAACTCATTTAATCTTAGTTACTTCCCTAAATGTCCTATCTCCAAATACAGTCCCATTGGGAGTTCGGACTTTCACACAGATTTGGGAAGACAACCATTCAGTTCACAACAGATAATGAACTTTGTTCAACAGAGTGAGAGCAGTTGGACAAGTGTGACTATACAGCTGGAAATATTCATTGGCAAGAGATTCATGTATTTCGGAAGGAAAGTGTGCCAGAAAAATCAGATTTTTTTTTTTTTTTTAAAGAAGAGGCCAGATGCAGTCGCTCATGCCTATAATCCCAGCACTTTGGGAGGCCAAGGCAGGTGGATCACCTGAGGTCAGGAGTTCGAGACCAGCCTGGTCAACATGGTGAAACCCCATCTCTACTAAAAATATAAAAAATTAGCCAGCTTTAGTGGCAGGCACCTGTGATCCCAGCTATTCAGGAGGTTGAAGCAGGAGAACCACTTGAATCCAGGAAGCAGTGGTTGCAGTGAGCTGAGATTACGCCATTGCACTGCAGCCTGGGCAACAAGAGCAAAAACTCCATCTTCAAAAATAAGTAAATAAGTAATTCTTTTTTAAAAAAGAGGAAGACAAGTGATTCTATCAAAATAATTCGTATTTGGCTAGTAGTCTTTTTAAGCTATGAACCTATTTCTTCAATCAAATCTGACATAGAACTTAAGAATGAAAAGATAATTTAAAATAATGGACAAAAGATTTGTTCAGATACTTCCCAAACAGCAAATAGACGAGAAAGTGCTCAGCATCCTTAGTCATCAGAGAAATGTAAACTGAAAACACAACTGGATACCATTATCTACTCCCCAGGACAGCTGAATTTTATGCATCTGACAATACCGAGTATCGGCAACTGGAACTCTTACATTTCTGGTGGGAATACAAAATGATACCACTTTGGAAAAAGGTCTGGCAATTTCTTAAAATGTTATGTATTTTCCCCATGACTCAGAAATTCCACTCCTATGTATTTACCTAAGAGAAAGAAAGCATATGTCTATAAAGACTTGTCTAAAAATGTTCATAGCAGCTTTACTATAACCCAAAACTGGAAAAGTATGTTCATCATAGGAATATGGATGAACAAACTGTTATATCCATACAATGGAATTCTACTCAGCTATGAAAATGAATGAACTATTATGCAACATGGATGAATCTCAGAAACATCTCTGAGTGAAAGACGCTAGATAAAAAGCAGTACCTATTTCATTTATATGAAATTCTTAAACAGGTACAATTTATGGTGAAAAACACTGAAACAGTTGTTTGACCTGAGGAGGGAGGGGGCATGGGGACTGGCCCAGAAGGAGTATGAGGAAGCAGCCTGGGGTGGCAATGGCCTATGTATCTTCATAAGAGATGGTTATACAGGTATATGAGCTTTTGGTCAAAGCTCATCAAATGGAACACTGAACATTTATGTATTTCAACTGTATGTAAATTTTACTTAAAAAATATCATAAGCAAATCTTGAACTCTAGATAATAATGTGCATGATGTAACATTTAGGGGTAAGAAATCTTGATATCTAAAATGTACTTTTTCCTCCCAGCTTTACTGAGGTATAATTAACAAAGATTTTATATATTCAAGGTGTACAACAGAATTTGATATATGCATACATTGTGAAATAACTACCATAATCAAGCTAATTAATGCATTAATCATGACATAGTTACCACTGTGTGTGTGTGTGTGTATATTTGGTAAGGACACTTAGGATCCACTCTATTAGCAAATTTAAAGTAA